AGGTTGTTATAGTTTAGTATTACTATAACTAATAGTTAGGTTGTTATAGTTTAGTATTACTATAACTAATAGTAAGGTTGTTATAGTTTAGTATTACTATAACTAATAGTGAGGTTGTTATAGTTTAGTATTACTATAACTAATAGTGAGGTTGTTATAGTTTAGTATTAATACAACAGTCAGTGAAGTCGTTATGTTCATTATGATTCCTATTAATGCAGTCGTCATTCACTGCTTTAAGTGAAATCACAGGGACTTGACACGTTCCTATGACCTAGAATGAAAAATAATACACCATGGTTCGACCCCAAGATCATTGTCAATAATAAGTGATCTGGGGGTCGGACCATGGGATTTATTTTTTCATTCTGGGTCATTGGAACATGTCAAGTCCCTGTGAGTGATGTATATATTATGAGTGCAGTCGTCATTCTTCTGTTAGTGACTAATGATGACTATAACCATTTTTGTATTGTAATCGCTATTAACTACTATAGGCCGCCTAGTCCAGTCGTAATTCATTATAAGTAGTGTAGCCTTCATTTTTTACACTCCCTGTTAGCGTGATTTACTTTAGTCGGTAGTATTGCTTCAGTGAACGCGTTTGTTATTCTTTATAGCCGCGGAAATTACTGTAATGATTTTGCAATAAATGAATTAATTGTACCTTTACCTTTAAAGCGACGTTCATCAGGATTATAAATTAAGATCTAACGTTCGTTGCTTCTGTATGTCTACAGGTTGGCTGTATGATATCCACGGGACCTATAACGAGACGTTCTGGTCGGCCGGCAGCTGCATCATCGTCGCTGGTTGTGTTTACCTTGTTGTTCCACTTTGGAAGCGTTGTAAAAAGTCGAAATCGTTCTTATGTATGTGAACAGAAATCGTTCTTATGTATGTGAACAGAAATCAAGTATATTTTGTAATCGATATCTTGCCTATCTCTATTTAGATATTAATATATTACAGGTGAATTTCATATCAATTTCTATTGTTTGTTTTAGGTGAAATATACTTCAGATTGTTTAAGATGTACTTGAAAATATATTTTGGCTATAATAAAATAAACATAACCCATATTAAAATTCCGATGCTAATGACACATGTGATATACTGCTGTTTTAACACTGATGATAAACTTCTAGATGGTGTATTTGTCATCTGCTTCAAATAGTGTGATAGATATATTTGTTGCATTTTAACCGGTAAAATATTTGGAATTATCAATTCGATGGGAAATTATTTCTGCACTGCTGTTAGGATATACTAAATGTTCTATCTTCACATAGGATGATACAAGGTTCTTCGTCGATTTTATACTGTCTAACGGAATATTCGATAAACTGCATTCAATTCCATAGATACATTGTAAGTGGTTGTTTTCATACATCTCTTTGGTATCATTTTTGTAGGCAAAACGCACCCTATAATAGCAGAAAAACTATAGAAGTACATTGAGTAGCCAATTCAAAATGGCGCAGTCTGGACCAGTTTATTTGCCTTGGTACCCTTTCTCTCAACTAGGCTGCGCTTTTTGTTAATGATACAGGCCAGGACCGCCATCGTTGTCAGAATCCTGACCAAACGAGCGCAGAGTTTTATTTGATCATTAAATCGTTGGTTTGATCTTCCATGTTGTTAACATGGGAGGTGGTACATCATTGGTGTTCAACAACAGGCATTCAGCACGGTTTACCTAATGGAAGCATGCGAGGTTGAAAATTACGGGCACTTCGATCGCCAATTTGACACAAGCATTTTTGACTAATATCCGTTATGATCACAAAATCAATGTAGTGCAGAAGTAATCTGTTCACGGTGAATTAGATAGGACCGATCGCAAGAAATAGAATGTAGAAAGGAAAGGAATATCCCTTTTTGTAGATGTAAATGTTGTTGTCCTTTTTAATTTGTAATCACACTGTCTGGTACTGTCCGTCAGTTTATCTTGCTTGTTCTCGCAATTAGTTCATTTTTTTCTGAAATTCCGTATGTGTGATGAGGTTTGGTTTGGTTTAATTGTGCTCAACGTCCTATTAACAGCTAATGTCATTTAAGGACGTGTCTCCATGTGTGTAGTGTATGAGTGCTTGCGTGTGTGTATGCAGGAGACAGGGTATACTGTGTGCTTGCCTCTTTGTGATAGCGCGGATCTGATGCCGACTTTATAGTGCTGTGCGGATCTGATGCCGACTTTATAGTTCTTTCTTACTGAAATGCCATGCCGAAGGCACCAATCACAACATTCCGCCCAGTCACATTATGCAACGGTTGGCCCATTTGTTGCCATTCCCCTAAATGCTGAACGTTAAGCAGGAAATAACAACTATCATTTTTAAAGACTTTGGTATGTCCCGGCCTGGGGACAAAACCCATTGCCTTCTTCACCTGGGGGAACGCTCAACATTAAAGCCTAAAGTGAGTTGTTGCCAAGCAAGACCCTAGGATATAAGAGGTAGTTAGAAGTAGAAAGAAAGATAAAGATACCAAATATTGCAATGGGCGCAGCAGATTTATTTTGCTCGCTTTTGTGTCCCCAAATAGAGGACACCAAATTAAATCCCCAACTCTGCAAGGGGTTCCCACATAAGTCGCCCTCCTACGATACACTTTTCCCGATCCCCAACCTGCAGGGGTGATGTGTGATGAGAATCACACGAAGATGCTGTTATAAAAGGGTGCTTGCGCGAAGGTTTTACGACAGCTTATATTCACCTACACATTTGAACCTGGTGACTGCAACTTGTCCAACGATTTCTGCTCCACTCTACTGATACTTTTTGTGTGTGATAAAAACCATATGAACAAGCGCATAGCGATAGGAATGCTGCTGTTTACGACAAATAGGTCACTTAAGATGACAGGATATCAAATATATTAATACCGAAGTGACCTAAAAACCGTTATCCAAAGTCAAAGCCGACAAAATTAGGACAAAATATGATCAAAGAAAATATTTACACGGTGACCCTTGAAGAAAAATGGCACACCAATGAGCACTATGGAAAACATTTACCCTCGTTATCACACTAACAAAGATGTGTTGGCGATCATGAAACTTCCACACAGTCTTCATAAACCTGCATTTTATGTTTGTTCGTCAGCAGATGTTATTTTTTCACGGAAGTCCCAAAATCAACAACGACATGTCTGCGAAGAGAAACAGATTTGTGTCACTTATGGCATCGACAAATAACGTCTTTGAATCTTATAACAAGTCGTAAGAAAAAAAGCATTCTCGTGAGTAATTTCCTTCCACAACTAAGTTCAGAATTTTCGACATGACGTCATAATTTAGAGGACTGCATTTATACCCCAGCCTCGCATTTAAAATACCCTGCTTCCTTGTTTTGGGGCAAATAAATTTTCATTTCAAAATATTTTATTAAATCAATCGATTCAATGGGAATTGGGAAACAGGCTATGCCTATAGAAGCCCTCTCCCTTGGGTAACATACATTTCAAACAATAACATAATTATAATTTAGACATTAACATATTAGCACTGGCTTGGAACATTAAATAGTACTTAATACTTAATAGTCTCTGTCTATCTCTGAACTAAGCAAAATAAAAAAAAATAAAAAATTGAATTACTAAGATAAAACAAATATATTTGTTGTTTTTTTGTTATTTTTTCTTCGCATAGTAACCAGTATATATAAAATATATTTCAAAATGGAAAGCCATGTTTGTATACTCATTTGTAAATAATCAAATTTCATAAATTTTACAACATATATTAATATCAAAGACTGGAACCTTCATTCAATACAGTAGATATTAAATATTATTAGTTGAATAATTTGGAACACCAACAAGTCCTCTATCACCACTCCTACTCCAGATAACAATTATAACTGGGCAGCACTAAAATGTCCATGCACACCACCACTGTGTGCTTACCCAGTCATTGACAACCCAGAGCAGGAGCCGTGTTGAAGGAGTATTCATGTAGACATGTATACATACGCATTGGGACTATACTTAACAGTTATTTCAAAATCTGTTAGTAGACTCAATATATTTCTGAACACATACACAAATAGCAGAATTAGGATCATGACTAAGGTGGTTACCTCCCCTAGTTAGTATATTGATATTATTTACTAAATGTTCAATCAGGTTTAAGTCAAGATTTAAATGTAGGTTTAGTTGAATGTTAAGCAGCAAATGAGACAGAGAATCTAATAGGTTTTGTCTTTGGATTATATACCTCGGGCAGTATAGAGGGGCAAATAAATCACATTGTCGACACGTAACGACAAAACGAATACCTCTCCGTTATCGATTTGAGATAACAGAGTTTCGATCCACATTAAGTAAACCCAGACGGCTACACACCTTTGCTTTCGTTGTGAACTTAACAAGATACACAATGTCATCATTTCATACTAGACTGACATGGCATTGTTGATAGACACCATCTTCCTGAGCAGAAAATGAGAATATAGTATAATACCTGAAACTTTATCAAGCAAAGGCTGATGACAGGAACATAATGCTACAACGACACAAAGTCAGATTCAACCAACCAATGTAGCGACATCTGAATCCTTTTGCAAACATAATACTTTACCCTGCTATATGACCCCTGGGTGGTCGGTTGGCAAATCGATATCGGACTCGACTTTCACCAAGTCTGCCGGGGTTCGATTCCCCGATCGGACGTGAAAAGGTATGGGTTCACCTGCCCGATAACGTGGGTTTTCTCCGGGTACTCCGGTTTCCTCCCACATTAAGACCCTCAGCGCGCTAACACCCGGGACAAGTGATTCAGTAATAACTTGTTTCATAACTATTGTAAAATAAATAAAAGTTTAGATATTTATATTTTATACGACTCCTGGAAGTACTAGTATGATTTCTGTATATCAAAACGTTCACCGAACGATTTTTATCAAATAATAAAACATCAAAGAATTGGCCGAGTCAACTTATATCGGATATCACATCAGCAAACACAAAGTAAATGGGGGCTCACTTAGATATCCCCCTTTCCACGAAAAGTGATGAATCTGACCTTTGACGACCTAGACCGATAATCATGTTAAAATTTGTTCGTTTGTTTGGGGTTGAACGTCCTCGCAACAGCTACGGTCATATGAAGATGAATGCCAATGAACACACCGCGCGGCATATGTAGTTGGAAGCCAATGAACACATCGCGCGACATATGTAGTTGGAAGCCAATGAACACCGCGCGACATATGAAGTTGAATAACAATGAACACACCGCGAGACATATGAAGAGGAATACCAATGAACACACCGGGCGACATATGTAGATGAATATTAATCAACACACCGTGCGACATGTGAAGATGGATGCCAATGAACACACCGCGCGACAAATAAAGATGAATACCAATGAACACATCGCGCGACATATGAAGATGAATATTCATCAACACACCGTGCGACATATGAAGAGGAATACCAATGAACACACCGCGCGACATATGAAGATGGATGCCTATGAACACATCGCGCGACATATGAAGATGAATATTCATCAACACACCGCGCGACATATGAAGAGGAATACCAATGAACACACCGCGCGACATATGTAGATGAATACCAATGAACACATCGCGCGACATATGAAGAGGAATATCAATCAACACACCGCGCGACATATGTAGATGAATACCAATGAACACATCTCGCGACATATGAAGATGGATGCCTATGAACACACCGCGCGACACATGAAGATGGATGCCTATGAACACACCGTTAAAGATATTCAAAGAGTTACAATGGGTGCAGCAGATTAATGAAGGGGTTTTCAGAAGTAGAAAACATGGCAGAAAACCCCACGATTCCTCAGGGGGTTCTACATTAGTCATATCTTACGAACACATGCAGTGGGAAACAGCAGGCCAAGTCTTTCCCCATTCATGAGCTATCTAGTATTAAAAACAGGACGTTCGCACGGACGCATAAACAAACTGTCAAAGCAAAAATACAAAGGCATGCAGCAGGTTTCCTCGGATAGCAAGTTTCCTTGAAAATATTGATTTTATTGATGTCAATACAAAATCTAGCACTTGGCACATCCGCTTAACATAGAAAGAGGTGCGAAATTTCCAGATTTCGATATAATTTGGTCATTGGTTAGGGATTCAATAGTTTGGAAATCGCAGTGGTTTATCACTTACTCTAATTTTAATAACCACCGGAATGCGGCATCTTCCTGGGCATCCGAAGAAGTAGACAATAATGGTGGCGGTCCTGTCAAACAGTTTCCATTTTTTAAGGGAATTCTTGATAGGACAAGTGCTACTTTCGGGGGATTTGGTTCGAATCCACAACCTTAGAGACGACATCAATCGCTTAGCTGCAGTAGAAATGAGGGAAAGTAAAACCGGAAAGCTACCGAGACGTAAAAATGATGGAGCTAAAAAGTCTTTAGCATATAGACACAGTACTTATACATAGAGTACTGATGTGATCTAAGACAGCCACAGTACATAGAGTAGTGATGTGACCGAAGACAGCCACAGTACATAGAGTAGTGATATGACCGAAGACAGTCACATTACATAGAGTAGTGATGTGACCTAAGACAGCCACAGTACAGAGAGTAGTGATGTGACCGAAGACAGCCACAGTACATAGAGTAGTGATGTGACCGAAGACAGCCACAGTACATAGAGTAGAGATATGACCTAAGACAGCCACAGTACAGAGAGTAGTGATGTGACCGAAGACAGCCACAGTACATAGAGTAGTGATGTGACCTAAGACAGCCACAGTACATAGATCAGTGATATGACCGAAGATAGCCATATTACATAGAGTAGAGATGTGACCTTAGACAGCCACATTACATAGAGTAGTTATGTGACCTTAGACAGCCACATTACATGAGTAGTTGTGTGACCTAAGACAGCCACAGTACATAGAGTAGTGATGTGACCGAAGACAGCCACAGTACATAGAGTAGTGATGTGACCTAAGACAGCCACAGTACATAGGGTAGTGATGTGACCTAAGACAGCCACAGTTCATAGAGTAG